CAGCCAGGGCCACAGCCTGGCTCAGTACCGCTATGCCAGGTGCCTACTACGAGACCCAGCCTCTTCGTGGAACCCTGAGCAGCAGAGGGCAGTGTCCATGGTGAAGCAAGCTGCAGACTCAGGCTTGAGAGAGGTGAGTGCCATTGGCAGGGTCTGTCCAAGGTCTCTGGGGCTTGTGGAGCCCGAAAGTGACCAAGGTGCCTTTTTTTCCTTCCTCCTTGACCACAGGCCCAAGCTTTCCTCGGGGTGCTTTTCACCAAGGAGCCCTACCTGGATGAGAAAAGAGCTGTGAAATATCTTTGGCTTGCAGCCAACAATGGGGTATGAGCTCTCTAGTGGGCAAGCATGTTGGGGATGAAGCCTGATAAGAGAAGGGATTTTGGAACTGGTACTGAGTTCTTCTGTGCTGAGGAGATTGTTTGATAGGAGCCTTGGCCTGGCTTCAAGCCTTAGCTGTCACTGACTTACTGTGTGACCCTTGGGCAGTTGCAGTAGAACGCCGGAGCTGGCTTGCACCAGGCTGTGAGAGCTGTTGGCAGCTTAAAATCTGCTATGGTGGGAATATTTTCACCACAGGAATTGCTAAATGCCACAAAGCAGAGTTTTTTCCCTCCCCGAGAGCCAGTTGTTCAACATTTACCAGCACAGTACTGGGCCTGCTCACTTCTTGATTCAAACCTGTTTCCTCCTCTGTAAAATCAGCATAATAATGCTTGCCTTACGTGTCCACTACTTCACAGGGTGGTTGTGAGGATCAAAATCTAACCGAGATAACTAACAGGTGTGACAGTGCTGTGTGACCTGTACACATGAAAAACGCATCATTACAAGTGATGGTAACTCAGGGAAATCAGAAGACGCATCAGGTGGAGACAGTAAACAGGGAACACTGCTCAGTTTGGGGTGGGTGGGGATGTCTGGTTGTTTGTGAACTGGGGTCACTGGCATTCAGACAATTCAGATGTGTTCCATGAAGCATTAGTTCTCTGGGATGTTTATAAGTCGTAAGAGGAAAAAATGGTTAGATGGGTTTGGGAAGTACTGAGTTAAACAGTTCATGCAGGAAGTCTCAAAGCTTTATGTCACTGTAGATCACTGAAAAGGCCATCTGTAATTCGCTGTATTCCTCAAGTGTATTTGACCAGTGTATCTTTTGAGTTGCATCTTGAAGGACCAGGAGTCTTAGATTAAATCAAGCAATATATGCGTGAACTGTAATCTCCCTACATAGGGGACTGCTGCTTCCTTTGTTTTCTGGCCAACACACTGATAGCTTCATTGAACTCCTGGGCATCAGAATGCTTTTCCTTGTCTACTCTGTGTTGCCCAAAGTATCTGTAGTAGCTGTCCAAAGGGGACCAATGCCACCAAGTATCCACCAGATAATCAGACCAGCATGCTAGCAGGAGAAATGCACAAAAGGATATCTGTCACCTGCTATGTGACACTGTATTGGGACTCAGACCTGACACTCTTCCACCCCACAGGGAATTGTGTCTTTCTGGGTTGGTACTGAGCAGCGATGCAGGGGTGGTGTTTTGGCCTCACGTGTGTCCACTGCTATGTTGTAACCTGGTCTGTAGGCATGAGTCTGCCGTGTGTTATAGAAGTAGGGGGAGAATGTGTAGACAACTCTTCCCAGAAATTTGACTGCGGAGGGTAGAAGAGAAATGGGACCATGGTTGGGAGTCAATAATGTTTTGTTTTGTTTCGGTTTTTTTTCTTTTTTCTTTTCTTTTTTTTTTTTGAGACAGAGTCTCACTCTGTCGCCCAGGCTGGAGTGTAGTGGTGCAGGCTCGGCTCACTGCAAGCTCCGCCTCCTGGGTTCAGGCCATTCTCCTGTCTCAGCCTCCCAAGTAGCTGGGACTACAGGTGCCCGCCACCATGCCTGGCTAATTTTTTTGTATTTTTAGTAGAGACAAGGTTTCACCGTGTTAGCCAGGATGTTCTCGATCTCCTGACCTCGTGATCCGCCCTCCTTGGCCTCCCAAAGTGCTGGGATTACAGGCATGAGCCACCACACCTGGCCTGTTTTGTTTTTTTAATTGGGAGAGTGAATATGATTCATATAGTGAATGTAAGCACTTTTCATATAGTGTATTTAATCCTTGCAACAACCTAATAAAGTAGGTGCTACTAGTATCCCACTTTATAGGTGAGGAAACTGAGGCACCATGAGTTAGAGTCACATGCCTGAGTTAACACAGCTGGTAAATGGTAGAGCTGTGATGGGAGCACAGACAGTCTGGCTGTGCAGCTGGACACCCAGCCTCTACCTCTACCTGCCTGAGCCTATTCCTACCAGGAGCATAGTTCTCAGTGAGAGGAGAGAGAATCGAGGATCCAGAGCTGGGGCAAACAGCATAGCTTTATTTTATTTTATTTTATTTTTTGACATGGAGTCTTGCACTGTTGCCCTGGCTGGAGTGCAGTGGCGTGATCTTGGTGCACTTCAACCACCGCCTCCTGGGTTCACACGATTCTCCTGCCTCAGCCTCCTGAGTAGTTAGGATTACAGGTGCATACCACCACACCTGCCTAATTTTTTTTGTATTTTTAATAGAGACGGGGTTTCACTATGTTGGGCAGCCTGGTCTCCAACTCCTGACCTCGTGATCTGACCACCTTGGCCTCCCAAAGTGCTGGGATTACAGGTGTGAGCCACTGCGCCCAGGCCGAGCATAGCTTTTTAGAGAAGAATTGCTTTTTCTGTTAGCCCTCCCAGGCAGAGATTCAGGAAGGCACAGGGTCTTTGGGAAGACAACCCTCCACCCTCGCCTCCTTGCTATTTCAGGGCAACGTAGGAGCCCGACTCCCAGGTTTCCTGTAACTGGGCTGTTTCCTATAGTCTTCCTTGTGCATGCTTTCAGCCACCCTGTGCAAGAGAAGCCTCCACACTGCCCTGGCTGGAATCTCCCTGGGTGGAGGGATCCCCCTCTGCTTTGTGTTGGGTGAGCTCTGAGCCTCTGGCGTTTCATAGTTGAGATCCCTTGTTATGGGACGGGCCAAGGCTGGGTCTTGTTCCTGCATGGATGAAGTCCCAGCATGCCTGACTTCACTTTCCTCCTGCCTTAGCGTTTCAGTTCCTCATTCTTGCATGTGTGTATCAGTTTGTCCATTTTCTCCTTAGGACTCACAGAGCAGGTACCACCTTGGAATTTGCTATGAGAAAGGCCTTGGTGTGCAGAGGAATCTGCGAGAGGCCTTGAGATGTTACCGGCAGTCAGCAGCTCTGGGAAATGAGGCCGCCCAGGAGAGGCTGCAAGCCCTCTTTTCCATGGAGGCTGCAGGTACAGACCCAAGTCCAAGCCAACAGGTTCATTCCGTGAGCTCAGTACTCTGTGACAGAGTAGTAGATAGCAGTAGTCTCTGGTCTCCTAATCATTTCCAACCCCAGTGGTGGCTAAGAATGCAGCTTTTGGGGACGGGCACGGTGGCTCATGCCTGTAATCCCAGCACTTTGCGAGGCCAAGACTGGCGGATCACGAGGTCAGGAGATCGAGACCCTCCTGGCTAACACAGTGAAACCCCGTCTCTATTAAAAATACAAAAAGAAATCAGTCGGGCGTGGTTAGCGGTGCCTGTGGTCCCAGCTACTCAGGAGGCTGAGGCAGGAGAATGGCGTGAACCCGGGAGGCGGACCTTGCAGTGAGCCGAGGTCGCGCCACTGCACTCCGGCCTGGGCAACAGAGCGAGACCCCATCTCAAAAAAAAAAAAAAAAGAATGCGGCGTTTGGAGTCAGACAAACCTGAGTTGTTTTTTTTTTTTTTTAATTTTTATTCGAGATAGTGTTTCACTCTTGTTGCCCAGGCTGGAGTGCAATGGCACGATCTCAGCTCACTGCAACCTCTGCCTCCCAGGTTCAAGCGATTCTCCTGCCTCAGTATCCCGAGTAGCTGGGATTACAGGCACCCACCACAATACCCGGCTAATTTTTTGTATTTTTAGTAGAGACGGGTTTTCACCATGTTGGCCAGGCTGGTTTCAAACTCCTGACCTCAGGCGATCCACTCGTCTCGGCCTCCCAAAGTGCTGGGATTACAGGTGTGAGCCACTGCGCCCAGTCAAACCTGAGTTTTAACCCCCACTGTCACTAAACTTGGACTCCATGGCTTTGTGCCTCAGTTTCTTCACCTCTAAAAATGAAGGTAATGGTAGCACCTAACTCATTAGATTGTCATAGGGTTAAATGAGATGACTCTAAGGGACTTAGCACAGCCTGACAGCACAGTAGGTATTGAACAAGTGATAGCTGCTCTGATGATTTTGTAGGAGAGACAATATCCCAAGATTGCCTGAATTACCCTTCTAGGGCTCTGAGAGCCCTGCTCACTCATGAGTCACTGGGGTTGGGAGTTAACAATGCCTGGGGAACCAAGTCCTTGAAGAAGTGCTGGCTCCAAAGTCGGAGTCCAAGAATGTACAGCATGAGTAAGAGTTGCTCTCACCTCTTCTTGTAGCCCCAGGGCCCAGCGACCTGACAGTTACAGGACTGAAGTCTTTCTCCAGCCCCTCCCTCTGCAGCTTGAACACCCTGCTAGCAGGAACCTCGCGTCTACCACATGCCTCGAGCACAGGGAACCTTGGCCTCCTCTGCAGAAGTGGGCATCTTGGAGCCAGCCTGGAATCCTCCAGCAGGGCTATCCTCCCACCCCCCTACCCACTGGAAGGGAGTGTTGTAAGACTAGGTTTTGGCTAAGGTGAGATAAAACATAGTCCGTGGTGCCTCTTAGGGGCCAGAGGGAGCAGGAGGTTGGATAACAAAAATAAAGCATCAGTAACCCTTTCCAGGTAGAAATTACAGCAGGAGTTTAGGTTCCCAAGCAATTTCACGTACATGGCTAGTAAGTGACTGATCTTCCCCCGCACTTGGTAGCCTCACAGATGAGCCTTGGATGCATCCACAGTCATTTCTGGTCTGTGCACCAAAGGATGCATTCAGTGACCTATGAAAAGCCCTACTGAAGGGTCCAGAGACCCTTGTGCTCACCTTAGCCTTTGTCTTTGAGCAAATAACTTACCTTCTCCCTTCCTATGCCTTGGTTTTCTCACACTTAATCCTGTACTGCTGTTTGCCAGTGTCTGATGTGTGTATCCCTGGTTCACAAGAAGATTTTAGGTGGTATTCAAATTAATATTTTCTATTTCAGTAGTTACATATTTAATGTATAATATAAAAATATGACGAGCATATTGAGCTGTGTAGTTTGGCAGATGTTCTGTCTAGGATAAAGCTAACTGTAAAAAAAAAAGTGAATCAGTTTAAAGAAAAACAACGTAAAAGGGGGCACAGGTCCAGAGAGGGAGCAAAAATCATAGGGGCGGTTCTGTGAATGGCTGGCACTTAAAAATACTGAATTAGGCCATCCTCAAGACTAGCTCCACCACTCACCTCTATTCATCCCCCGTGGGCTCATAATCATTTTCATTTCACCTTTGATTTGGAAGGAAGACGTTTCTTGCCCAAATGCCTGGATGTGTCTGCTTGACTTTCAGAACTTCTCACCTCAGCCCTAAAGATGGAGCCTGTGGGTTCTCAGAGAGATATCACAACTTGAGTCCCGAAGAAGAGGCCGGTTCCCCACCCACCTTCCCCTAAACCCTAAGCACCTGCGCCAGTACCATCAAGAAGAGGAAAGTATGTGAAGACCCAGGTCTGGCTCTGCCACTTGTCTGGCCATGTCACCTTGAAGCAGTGACCTGACTCTATATTACTTCCTCAGTTGTATACCAAAGGCAATGGTGTCTGCCTTCCTACCTTACAAGACAAATGCAAGGGCATTTCACCACAGAGAGGACCTTTGTGCTCACTTTGGCCCGAGAGGCAGTGATGCTCATGGTTGCATGACTTTATGAGTCGCTGGGCCAGGATGAGGACCTGGGCCTCCTGACTCCTGGCCTAGGGTTCTTGTCCATCAGTTCAGACTGCAATTTTATGTGAAAGCATTATGACTGTCCTAGTCCTGGAAGAGTAAATGTAGATTGAATGCTAGGAGTCCTAGAGCTGGAGAGTGTGATTTTGAGGTCCCCGTTTGGGAAACGTGTGCCAGAAATGTCTAGGTGTTTAATAAAACAGATATTGGATTATATCATCACTCTTGCCCTTGAGTATGTTGGGAAGAGCCAGGGAGACGGGCAGGGGGAGCTGAAAGCTAAGGCTCCGTCCTCATCTCTAAACTCTCCATTAACCAATTTAAAGGATCTTAAAAGCTTCTCCAAGAGAGAGACTTAGGGAAAAAAAAGATTTCTGAGTCAACGCTAATGAGTCCAATTACTGAGTTTGTGAATAGCTATTCCCTCGCTTCTGGATGTTCGCCCAAGTTGAATAGCATAGATGTGGTTGAGGGTGGGGGCTGGGAGGGATAGAGGGCCCACTCCTCACAATCCCGTGACTGTTTGAGTGGAGACCAACCAGCTTGGCCAATTCAAAGGCAAGAAGATTTGAGGGAGGAAAGTTGTCCGCGTTTCCCTCTCTGCTTCCCACCCCACCTCTCCCAACTTCTAAGTTGTCCTGCCACACTTTCCTAGCACCTCCCTTTCACCTGGGGAGCCCAAGTGTCCTCTAGCTCCAGCTCCTCACCTGCTCCCTGCCTCCTTTTCAGGGCTTCCCTGCACACTGGCTCACCGCTAGTGGACCCTGCACATGGCCACCTTCCACAGATGGCACTCCTTGGGAGCAGGGATCTTATCTTTGTATTCCAGTGTCCCCAGCACTGAGCGCAAGGCCCCCCGTGCAGGGTAGGAAACCTGAGGTTTCAAACTCAGGGTTTTAAGCTGTGCGTGCACTAAGCTCTCTGCCAAAAAACAAACAAAAAAAGGTTTCTGTGGTTAAATAAGTTTGGGAAACGCTGTACCAGACGTCCCCTTTTTATAGATTCACAATATACATCAGCATATTTGAGGTTCCAAGAAGTCCTCCAGTAAAGAACTCGGTTAACCCAATGTTTTCCCTCACTGAGTTGAGCCCAGAGCCTGTTTCCCTACAGATTGCTTTTGAGCCTTCCTGGGGCACCCTCTGCATGAAGTGTCACCGTGTGCCCTCCCTGTGGAGCCGCTCCCCAGCCTCCTCCCCTCTGTGGTCATTTTGGATTTTCTGACTACTGCTTTGTAGCCATAGCCGGGGCCAAGGGCTGGTTCACAGTCTGGACACTCGGGGTCCTGTGGTGAAGGCCACATGCAGCCCTCCCTGAATGGCTTTCCCTCCCATTCAGTCACTACTGAGCTAAATACTGATTCAATTTGGGGTACCAAAGGTTAGGGGTAGGATATTTTTAAGCTCTCCAATTTAAAAAGGAAGGGCCTCTCCTGTGGAAAGAGAAGGATGGCAGAGTTGTGAGAAAGGTGTTGTCAAGGGACCAAAAATCCTTGGCTGTTAGTCACTGCGGTCTTGATCCAGCACCAGGGGGATGGGCTTCATTGGCAGAGCTGAGGACTGCTGTGCTTTTGCCATTAAAATTCTGTTATTAATGACTCATCATCAGTGCCCCAGAGGAAGTGTGAGAGGACGAGAGGGAGGTGGCTCCCATCAGCAGGGCCAGCCTGGGTCAGGATGCTGGGTTAAAGCCTGGCGTCCTCACCAATGAGACCTCTGTGGGAAGCTCTACTGCCTCAGTTTCCCTATCCGGAGATGCTGTTTTCAGGGAGTCCTGACACTATGATGAGAACAAGGCTATTTGGTTCACTATATCTTTAGTGCTAATATAGTGTGCGACACTCAGGTGTTCAGTAAATATACATTCAACAACCCCCCGCCCCACCCAGTGCCCAGCACCAAGCCTACCCAGCACATAGTAGGCACTGTAAGTAATTTGAATGAATAATTTTAAATAACTTGAATGAATAATTCTGTATTGCCCCCCACTCACCACCTACACACACACACACACACACACACACACACACACACACACGGTTCCCTGTGCTACTTCTGGCACTCAGTAATTGTTCAATAAATACAAAATGTTTGTTGCATGAGTGTTTCCGATCATGTCCTACTACTCCGCCATCGTACCCAAAATTTAGTAGGAGCTAGAAAATACTTATCTATTCTCTAGGTACACACTATGTACCAGGCCAGGCTTCTCCTTCTCCCTCCTCCTGTCCTCTCTTTTGCGGGATTTGGTTCTCTCCAGAGTTTCAAGGGTAGTGGTTGCCACATCACTCTTATTTCAGCCAGAGAAGAGGCAGGGTCAGTGAGCTGCCCAACTGAAGTTGGGTGACAGACAAGGCAGCTGCCTGTCAATCTCTGAGCTGCCCCCAGGCTCTGAGTGAGTACTGCATTGCACTCCTGGTGCTGGAGAACGGCTGACTATTGATTTAAAAAAAAAAAAAAAAAAAAAAGTCCCTCTATGCCTCTATGCTTTCCAAATTAAGACAACATTTACCTGAGTGCTTGTTGGCTCGCCTGCTCCCTCAGTCTCCCAGGGGACAGAGCCCATCTTGGTGGAAACTGTTTTGAGCATGTCCAAAGTCTCAGCTTTGACATCTTGGCTGATGTCAAGAAGTTTCTGTAACCTTCCTGTTCAGCACACCCGGTTCTGTCACCATAGACACGGTCTCACTCTGAGCCTGTTATCAGGCAAAGTGCCGGTATCAGCTCATCAGGAGGGGATACATGGTGCAGGAGAGAACACTGTCCCTCACGTACGTACACCCCCATTCTGATCAAAGTTCAGAACAGGAGCAGCTCTACCCATGAGTTCTCCAGGTTCTGCAGGGAAGGCAGGGCTGAGGGCTGACCTAGAGGATTGTAGTGCTTCCTAATCTTAATTGGACCCTAAATCTCTTTGAGAATCTGATCTAAGCACCTACTTCTTTCCATAGAAAAAATGCACATCCTTCCAATTTTGCATGCAGTTCAGCAGGTTCATAGATCCTGAAGTCCAACCAAGGACGTCAGATTAAGAATCTTTGACGTATTAAAAAGACCACCATACTAAATCCCAGATCCAAATCCTGATTTGAGCAACCACTCAGTTAAATGTCATCTTAATTTGGAAAGCTCTCCCCCACAAACCTGTCAGGTGGCCTTAGGCAAGTCATCTGCCGTTTCTTTCTATATTCTTGGCTATAAAATGAAGAGTTGAAATAGATAAAGTTCAGACTCCTTATGACAATTGCCCATGTCTGTGGATGTTTAGATAGTATCGTAAAGCAATGCTGCGTAACCTTTTAAAGGTCAAAGTTTCCTTTAGAGAATCTGATGAGAATTTTGTATCTTCTGCCTAAAAAAAAAAATGCCTAGACACAAAGTTTTACCTAGTATTCAGGGAGCCCAAGGAGTACAGATTTATAGCTTTTGAACTAGAATGATGCAATGGTCCCATGTGTCTAGTGATCCAGTTGCCACCTATAATTCCAGCTTCCTCAGGTCATCTCCCCATGCCCACTGTCTTCTCTCTACCCTCCCAACATCTGCTCAGCACTGAAAATCTGCTGGTAACTGGGAGGTCACCATGGTCTACTCTAGTACTGTGGTTCTCAGACTTTGCTTTTGCATAACAATCATTTTTTCTAATGAAGTCCTACCTGGAGCTCCAATATGGATAAAAGGGGCCTCTGAAGCATTTACTGACACATTTATTCATTCATACATCAATTCAACAGGTATTTATCAAGCGTTGCTTTGTGGCAGGCACCTGGCTGGTCAGGCTGGAGACCCTGTCTACCTGCTTGGTTTCCCCCAGCTTCTCTCACTGGCCCACAGAACCCAACAGTTCTGGGATCCAGCCTGAAAATCACAGATTCTGTAAGGAGATCGCTCTGGCCTAGAGTGAGGTGAGGAGAAACCCAGAGACTCTGCCCCGGAAACTCATAACTTTGGGGAGCCTCATTTTCTTCATCTGTAAAATGGAATAATGGAATAATGACACCACACTGTATTCCAAGTATGTATGAGGCCTATTATCCCTAGTTGGGAGTATAATTGGCCCATTTCTGTGAACAGTGAACATGAGCACTGAGCTCCAAGAAAGGACAAAAAGAGGAGCAGATAGAGGAACTTTTGCCTGCAGTGTCCAGGAGAGACCCACGCTATTTAGAAGCTAGCTGATTGGCTGCTCGGAAATTTCCAAGAAAATTATAAAGCTGAACCTTGGGAAAATATCGGCTATTTCTTCCCTCCTCCATCCCCTGGAAGGCTGGCTGCTGTCAGTGCGGATTTCATAGACCCAGTTCACACAGTGTCCTCTGGGATTCACAAGCCTAAACCTGCAATAACAGAGGAAGGTTTACCGGCAAATGGGGTCCCGAAAGATGACATCTGCACTTGAAGAGCTACTTGCTCAGAAAGAACAGGGGCCTGCATCAGTTCAGATCCAAGTTCCTTTTGCCTTGTGCTTGGAAATGTAGAGAGGTGCGGGCCTGCGTGACTTTGGAAATGTTCCTTTCAACAGTGTTTCCCGAGGGCGCTCTGTCGGGCAAGTTCACTGCTGCCAACAGCTCACCTCCAGGGCCTTTCCTTCTCCTCTCCTTGGTTGGCAGGCTGGTGTCAAGGTTGAAGGCCTGGGTTTTGGTGTTGGGCCAGCCCGGGTCCAAATCCTGGCTCTGGCTGTACTCCCTGCTTGATCTTGGGAAAGCCATTTGACCTCTCCAAGCCCCATATCAATGTCTGTGAAATGGGGTTAATCATACCTCCCTCCCAGGACTGTTGGAAAATCAAATTAAATCCTATTGTAAAGCCTGGTGCCTGGCTCATGGAAATGCTTTATAAATAGTTGTGCTTTCTTAGCTCTAATTTTGCAGCTGAGAAGCAGATTAGTTGGTAACATAGTGGTAGGGGAACGGGGTTAAGAGCACACATGTCTGCTATTTGTGTACCTGTCACTGTGTACCAAGGTGCCCCACGCCTGTCCAGGCCCGGTGTGACAGTCTTGCCAGGGATTGGATGACAAAGAACCCTCACTCTATTACTCTTCCCTTCTCCCTCTTGACAGGTGCAAACAGGAGAATGAATCACTGCTTTTCCTTTATTGGTAGGTCAGAGAGCATTTCCTGGCACCCCCAGGGTACAGCCCCCTGACTCCTGCTACCCAAGAAGGCCATCCTTTCCTGCTTGTGGTACTCCGTGGCATCTGTTCTGCCAGAGGACTGACCCTTTGTGCTCTATATATGTTTTGCCAGCAAACACTTACCTCAGCCACAAACTGTCCCTGTCCTCCAAAAGACTCAGAGCCGCTTACAAGGGGCTGCTTTGGTCAGTCAGGTGTTAGTCCTGGGGCTCCTGCCTCCTCTGTGGGGGTAGCATCAGTCACCCTAAAGTTCTCAGGCCACCACTAGCTAGTGAGTTATAAGATTTTAGAAACCAGCTCATGTCCCCAGATCCCCTCAGGCCCCTGATTCTTGGATCCAGAGGCGTCCGAGGTATGTTCACAGGCAACTGCCGCTGCTGCTGCTGCCTCTGCTCCTGCCCTCAGTCCCCGTCTTTCCACCTGGGTCCCCCTGCACTTTCATGCCTGAGGCCGCACTGGTGGCCAAGTCTAGACTGAGGGTCCTCCCGCAGACCGAGAGCCGCCGCAGTGCCTCAGAGGCGGCCTCCACGGGCATGCCGGAGCGCTGTTCCAGCAGCATCTCCAACAGTGAGCTCATCTCCGAGACAAAGGTGCTGGCCAGCCTCGTGCCTGTTGGGCTCAGCTCTGGTGCCTCTGCCTTGCCGAACGTCTGGAAGGTCCTCGGCTCCTCCGTGGCTGCAGCATCCGGGGAGATCACATTGTCACGGTAGTTGGTGGTGAGGGGCAAAGAGAGTCTCGCCATCCAGGCCGGGTCAGGGGCGCTCAGCCGGTCCAGGGCCAGACCTGTGTAGGGAGGAGGGGACACAGTGAGGGCCAGGCTCCGGGAAGGACCAGGCGGGTGAGGGTGGGGCAATGGGCAGGGCAAGGGCAGTGGACAAAGGAGGGAAGGGAAATGGCAGGGGACAGACAGAGTGGCCAGACGGGGACAGGAAGGAAGAGGCCCTGACAGGGAAGCTCCCTGGGTAGGAAGGCAGTCGACTGACACACCCGGGCGAACCGAGTGGGGAAGCAGCAGGAGGAGGAGAAGGCCTAGAAGCAGGAATTAGCCTTTTTCTAAAGAATTTCCCAATCTGGGCTGTGGTGTGTTTCCAGTCTCAGTGTCTTCTATATTTCATCCAGGATTTTTACCCCTCAGGGCGCCTTCTCCCCTCAGGGCTCCACTAGCTGAGGATGGAGGGAAAAATCCCTTTTCTTAGCCGAGGCTGGAGTTCCTGACTTGGCGCTGCCTTTTGTTCCTATCCATAATAATAGGGACCACATACTAGGTATTTATGTGATGAACAATTTACATAATTATTTAACTTCCACACAAACCTTTGAGGTCAAGAGTATTATTCCCATTTGGTGGATGAGGAAACCGAAGCTGAAAGAAGTTAAGTCACACATCTGCTAGGCAACAAACCTCAATTTGATGCCAGGTCTGATGACTTTGAAGCCTCCCTATGATGGCACCACCCTACCCTCTCTCGAAGAGCTGGCCCTTCGTCCCTCTGGATATTCCAGGTGCCCAGCTGGGGCCTCTGGAATTCCCAGGCTACCTAAGGTCTGCACTGTTATCAGCTGGCCCCCGATCCTCAAATCCTCCTCAACATCATCTCTCAAGCTGCCGGAAACCCTGGCCTAGAGTCAGGCTGGGGAGGGGCTGCCTGTCCAAGGGCTGTCCCAGGAGAGGGAGTGGGGTAGTGGTGGTGGCAAGTCAGCCTGGTGGCTGGGAATTTAAAAAACTGGCCCCTACATTTGCAATGCCACAGTCACACTTCTTTTCCCATCCCTTCAACAGAAAATCCTGTTTCAAGAAACCAGTCCCAGGCCTGGTGGTAGAGACCAAGCCAGAGGAAAGAAACTGTAAGTCTTATAGTTAAGAAACAGTGTCTTTAAAAAAATTAAAAAAAAAAAAAGCGCAACATCTACTTAACATTTATCTAATGTTTGCCTAAAGTGAGTTACTTTAAAATC